ACTGATATTGCCAGATTCTTTGGTTGTCGAGCACAAGGATCCGGTGAGTGGCTTGATGTCATACCATTGCGAAATCTTGGTTTCACAATTTCTGACGACGAGTTTCGAGTTGCCATGGATTATGCATTGGAGCCCCGGTCTCTGCACGTGCAAATGTGGCTTCGGTTGATCCACTGACGGAAAACATGCACAAGTAAGACCAAATATCAAACACCGTTTCACCAGACATACTAATTGCAACGTTGTTATTCAGGAAGCACTTAAAATGGCAGGTTACCCATCCTATCTCGAACGGGAGGGTTATTACATAAAGACGGTCCATGGCCTGATGGGCTTACTCTGACGCCTCGGTCTAGAAGACGTGTTCTAGCGTGGGTTTCCGATGCATTAGCAGACTGGCTTACTCGTATTTGCATCTAGGGATCATTCCTGGCTCAAGCGCTGCTTCTGCAGCCAAAGCGCGAAAAAGGAATCGTTACTCGGATCTCCCTTCAACTGTAACTTTTCAACCCATAGCCATAGAAACGTTAGGCGGGATTGGGAGAACATCAATTGAGTTCATCAAAGACTTAGCAGGTAAGATCAAGGGTACGACAGGTGAGAAACTCGACAGGTGAGAAACATTTTGAAAAAAGAATGGATCTTGCAGTTCAGCGGGGAAATGCTGGCTGTATTTTGGAGGCTCTCTTTCTGTGATTCACTTTTGTAAATTGCATATTTCTATACTTTTACTTTGTTCCTTTTAACCAATAGAGAATTAGTTATTATGATTCTCTCACACTGCTGGCAATAGATCAAAAACAAAACAAGAATATCCGGTTGCAGTCTAAATAGCACAGAACGGTCCGACCACAATCATCAGAAACAACAGAACAAAAAAATACAGAGAAAAAATTGTTTGTTTTTTTTTCAAGTTTAGTGTCGTTTTTTTGCGTGACTTGTTTGAGAGATCTATACAAACGCGTACAAAATAGGTGAATCTGTAAACTCGACAAGTTTTCTTATAAAAAAAAGAATGACAAACAAACACTTTGAAAAAATAGGGTCTGAAATTTTCAGCATATTGTGCTATTCCCCTGGATGGCACAACGGAACCTTCTGTCGCACGAGAAATACGAAATAAGAAGCCTTGTTGATGAACTCATTACGAAAAGGAAACCGCTGGCTTAAGACATGAGGCTACAAAATCGTGTTACCGCTTAAGGGCCACTACCAAAACACCAAAACACCCCTCCCCCACTATTGAATTAAGAACGCCCCCATGCCTAGGTTTCTAATTACCCAAAACGCGCGAAAACCATTAAAAACAGGGTTGGAAATTCACGTATACCTTTAGTTTTTATAGGACAGTGGACCTTTGATTTATTTCAGATGGATCAACCTAAAACTCGCCTTAATAAAACATCACTCTGTGAAAGTACGCTCAAAAAAATAGTTAAGTACTCATATCTAGAATTAAGTAAAAATGTAAAAATGTAAGTAAAGTAATTCTAGAAGTTTTAAAGAATAACTTGTTTTAACTCAAGAAGTTTTTTTTATCTGGCTTGTTGGGCAGCTTCACTCGTCGACCTGCACAATCGAGGTTCCCTCTTGCCCAACGAAAGATTTTGCGATGTTCTTTGTCAGGAACAAGACATCTCAACTCGAATTGATTATTTCCCAAAATTGCGAACACCTATTTGACTCTAGCACAGTTTTTGGTCAACTTTTCCGCAAATAGGTCTTGAACTTTCTGATTTTTTTGACTTTCATTTTCAGTTGCCTCGACAAACTTGAGCATGACTTGAAGCATTCGAAAACTTGAGCATTCAAAAATTACTGTTTCCCCCAAAATCAAGGTCAAACTTCAGAGTTTGACCGACTGGCACATGGCACATACTCCCCAGACTCAACACCGATATCCTCATCGCGCGTCGTCGTCATATCGGTGAGCTCTCAGAATGTTGAGTGTGTCTCAAGATACAATGCCAGTGGTCATTTACAGAAATTTGCAGCAGACTCTATCATATCTACGTCCCTAAAAATTCACGGCTATGTAAAATTGTCATTCTATAGCTACACAGCAATCAAAATCTTCATCCAACTGCACCTTGGATTCCAGTTGTATCAGCCATTTTTTTTCTTAAGTCAGAAAACTGTAATGCAAAATTTTCACATCTTAAAATTTATAGTGTAGTAGATGACAAAAGTATATATAAAAAATTTCTTTTTTGTTCCCTAAGTTTTAATCTGAAATCGCGCTCAAGCCCCAATTCCTTACCCTGCTCAATACCGAGGAATCCGCCCAGAGCAGCCGACCTAGTTCATCCCCCTTGCTTTGAAGTGTTGGGTCCAGATGCGCTCGACACCGTGATCTGCCTTGTTAATTCTTCTTCTTCATCGAAACTGATCACAATTCCTTCCCTTGCCTTCAGTTGCTCATAGGCCCGCATCCCTTCTTTCTGCTTTTGTTCTCTTCTGAGATGGTTTGGCAGCTTCTTCAACTTGGGCTCGCCATTCAAGCAAAAGGATTGGTGTAAACTCAAGCTACATTTTCAGCTAAATCTTCCCCCAGTATCGACTCCCTCGCCTTTGTGTTATCTCTAGATACCTTACTAACCCGCTTTCAGCCCATCCCGTGGTTGTTTCATTACAATGGCATGGAACTGAAAATACTCCTTTAGCTGTTTCTTCATGTGTTTCTGCGTCAGCCAAGACGTCAACGTCGCCCTGAATCATAGGAAAAACCGTATACGGCTTCAGATGTGCTTCACTTCCATCGGTATAACGAATACCTTGCAGACAGTCTCAAACAACTCGAGTCTCCTGCTCTAGTCAATAGCATGTATCTCCTCCACGGTTGCTGTTTTTGACTCTCGGTATTTCATCACGTTTTCCTCAATCCATCGCAGCGCTAGCATCGAACTCACCACGAAGACGGTTACCTTTTGTTGAGATGATCAGGTAATCCTATTGCCCGAATTTCCTCAACGTCCCATATCAAGCAGAGTTTGGACATCTCTGGATACCGCACAGTCTGTGTCTATATATGTTTATATAGTAAATTATATATAGTAAATTTAGTAAATTTTTTTATTTTTCTATCTCAAGCTCTCATTGCCCGTGGGTCAAGGTAGACTGGAGTATGAGTTTTATAGTGGCTAAAATCCAGGTTTACACATTCAACTTTTTTTTTTGCTTTTGATAACTATTTGAGTTTGGTTTTGTAGTTATACTATTTTGACCCTTAGTCTTTTTAGATTGTTTTCAATGTTTATATATCATAAGTGCAATGAAATTTACACATCAAATTACTGGCTATTTTATCTAACACCAGTTTACGGTTAAGCTTTTGAGTGAACCATTTAAAATTGAACTAATCAAAATCTGGCAGAGTATCAATGGTGATTCAAAGTTTGTACGCTCAGAGCACAATGTCACAGTGCTCATTCAATGATCTTAAAATGAATGGCCCACGATAGAGTTGACTACACGCTTTTTTCAGAAAAAAAAGTTAGTTATATGACTTTTTGTTTTGACCTCCTTAGAGCGTTTTTAAAAAATCTCCATCAAAATCTTGCCCCTAAAACAAAAAGACCTCAAACAAAAAAGTTTTGGAATACATCTGGATACTTACTAGACCAACCATCTCAAATAAATTGTAATGAAATAGAAGGAAAAAATAAAAGTTGTCTAATTTCCTATGCAAATTGTTAGAACTCAAAAAATACATTCATTTTCCTTATTAAAAACCACTCAGATTTTTCATCGTGGGCTGCCTTGAGCATCAGAGCTGCCTTGAGTATCAAATAGAAAAATTTTTTATCTTCAGTTTTGGACATTTTTGTTTTGCTTTTAAACTAAAAATTTTACCCTCAGTTTTATGCGTCAAGTTTGGATATTGAGAAGATTTTTAACACAAATCAGCGTTGATGTAAATATTTAAAAAGAAAAAGTCTTTAAAAACTTAGGTGTTATGATGGGCTATAATGTATGGAAAACTGCAAAATTTAAAACTTTTTTCTCTACTCTTTGACTTTAACGCAATTTTCAAGCATTTTTAGCCTTCTCGACAATGGCTTAGTATCTGAAAATTTTTCAAATTTGATTAAGTACATTAATGTTTGAAAAAAGATTGCGAAAATCTCAAACTTTTTAAATTATAGTTATAAATGCATTCTAATCGATAATCCCAGTTTTAAATCAATTTGTTGTGGCTTATAACATGAAAAAAAATTCAAAGTTTTTAACTTTAACTTATATACTTATAATTGCATTTTAATCAGTTTTTTCAATATTTAAAACAAATTTATGTAGATTATAACACATAAAAAATCAAAATTTTCAACATTCTTCTTTCATAGTTTTAATCGTATTTTAAATTCGATCTTATTAATTTTGAATGTTTGTGGGTTTAACTTAGTTTTTTTTGGCATAGTTTGAATTTTTAATCAAAAATTTGTCGGATGTTTAAGTAACATCTGAGAGATAATGATGGCGTAAATAATTTTTAGCGGTGATCAATTTTCCAACTGGGTATATTTCAATTTGCATCATTTGTTTCCGATTAGGGGTTGAGGATATCAGCAGAAAAAAAACCCTTGAGATAAGTAGTTGTCAATCGGAACTATCAGGGCTTTGCCGTTAAGGACATGCGACAATCTTTTTTAAGAAAGGAAATTGCGTAACTTTTCGACCGATAGTGTCATTTGAACATTCTAAATCCGCACTTTTTTTTATCTTGGCCTCTGGTATAATAAGGATGGAATTTGATGGGAATTCAGGCGGTGCTTGGTGTTAACTCAATCAACCAGTAGTGATTAGTATGCGCTCTACATCCGTCAACTTACCGACTCTCTACTCTGCCCTTAATTTGGTCTCAATGGTACCTTTGGGAGTTTTCACAAGACACAACCTGTAATCCGATGTGAAAGGCAAGTGTGAATAATTACTTCACATATTGTTCCGATTTCCTAAAAACTTCATTGATATTCTGGTTGCAAAGTCATTCACGCCGAACTTCAGATTTTTCAATTTTTTTTAGGGAAATAAATCAAAAACTATCTATTTAGTTCGTTCTTTGCTAGCCACATTTATCCGCCTTGGATTTATCTTAAGTCTGCCTAAAAATGCGGTCAATTCAAATCAAATCCAAAAAACGTTTTCAAATCACGATTTGATTTTACCAAAGATTGAAGAACTCGAGATTCCAAAGGGATGTCGTCATTACCCACGAAAAATGCTTTGAAGGTTAGTCAAAAGCAAACCAGGGACAAACAATTGTCCCAAAAGCATTTGAGTTTGCCTGAAAAAATTTTGGCATGGAAAAATGATTTAATTTAAGAAAAGGAAGTTTTTTTTCATGTTTTTAAAGATCCCTTGCTTATAACGTCAAGTACGCAATGATTAGCTTTGATTTAAGGGTTTCAACATCTTCTAGATGATATAAAAATTCTACCAAACAAATAGTTGAACAGAATTGTCAGCAGGAAAACACAACAAGCACAAATAATTGGTCATTTTGTTCGAAAACCGGAATATTAATATTTCATGCTTGGTATGATTTTTCTCCAGACAACTTTCAATTTTTATTGGGTTTTCAAGTTGCAACTGGTCTGGTCGTTAATTAACATCCAATTGTTTTTTGTTCGGAAAATTTTGATAAACTTTCTAATTTGGAACGTCAATATGAATTTTTAAGTGTTACATTTGAGCCGTAGAAAGAACAAAACTGTTCGTTTATCGGGGCAAAGCCCTGAATGTTCCGACTGTCCCTTAATTCAAATCGAATAGTTTTTGGGAAAAGAAAATGTTCAGATATTGTAAGCTCTGGACAAAATCAAAGTGTAAAATTTCGAGTCGTACGAAATTAAGACGACAAATTAGCTAGCTTCAATTCACTTCGGAACGATTTTGTTGTGCGGGATAATTTGCCACGCATAAATAATTCGCTTTACGTTCCCAGCAATATGAATAAATTCTTCAAAGCGCGCATAGTTTAGTGCAGAACCTGGTCAATTTGGCAATTTTCAAACCCCCAGAACTTTACAAAAAAAATCGGAGGTAAAATACCTGTTTTTAAGTTTGAAGTCAGGAAGTCGATATCTCAATGGGGTATAAAAATTTTTTGTCGAAAAGTTTTATTTTATCGGCAAAAATTGACTGAATAAAAACAACCACACCGATCATAAATATTCCATTTTCTTCGAAAGTCGGAACAAAAATACTTGACAAGTGCATTCAAATCAATAATAAAATAGCGTCAACCGGTATGTGTGTTAAGCACAATTAACATTCAGAGTGATAATTCAGCAGTTGAGTTTAACTAATCAATGTTGATAATCAACTTGGCACTTACTAACAAGGTTAAGTTCAGGGCACTAGTTTACTTGTTTGGTCCCACAAAAATGCTGTGGTCCTTAATAAAAGCCGAAGTACAATATGTGGCTAATTCCAACAGTGAGCATGTCTGAATCCGGTTACCAACCCCAAGGCGCAGGCTCGAATCCCGTGCTGACTCTTCTTTTTAACAAATAGGCGGGACCAATCATCTAAACTAGTTTTGTCTCGTGCCAAACAAGTAAGCTAGTACCAAGATCAGATATTTCTCAAGTTTATCTTGAACATTTCTAAAGTCAATTGACCGAGACGAAAAAAAAATTTCAATCCCCCATCAAAAAATCAGACAAAAATTGCACAAAACACCAGTTTGCACATAACGATTGAGAATCGCACATAACAGCAGACAAAATCGCATAAGTTGTCAGTCTTAAAATACTTTTTTTTGTTCGGTAAATTATGTACTTCTCAAACTTATCACCAGCGGCGTGTTTCTCGGGCTGCCTTCTATCAGAAAAGTGTTTCTCACAATATTAACCGTACCCAGATGATTTTTTGTGCAAGATCTGAATTTCTTGATTCTCAGATCTGAATTTTTTTTCCGATCTTGATGAAAATTTGAAAGTTTCAGATCTGAAATTTGGATATAAGATAGAAAATTTTAGGACTAAAGTGACCATGAGAAACAAAATTTCAGATCTGAAATTAGAGCTGAGAAACCCTTTGTGAAATCATAACTTTTGCATTACCAGCAAACAATTGATTTTTTGTTTATGATGATGATGCAATTTATAATTTCACAACCTTTTTTTTCGAACTGAATATTTTGTTCGACTGTGTTAAGAAACTTTTCAAAAACTGTTAAAAGACCTATCAAATTTTTGATTTTCATGCGGCACTTAAGCGTTTACAAGGTTTATCTCATGCGTGGGGAAACATTATTTGACAATATCCCTTTTGAGATTTTGTTGAACACCTACTAGTAGCTAGCAGGAATTAACAAATGCAAAAGTATCAAAAATTACAAAATTAGTGTCAGAATCATTGATTTTTCAGATGTGAAATAACCAAGAAACACTAATTTTCAGATCTGAAATTGGTTCATAATTAGATTTTTTCAGATCTGAAATAGTCCATTTAACGGGCTATTTCAGATCTGAAAAAATCTAATTATGAACCAATTTCAGATCTTGAAAATTAGTGTTATTTTAGCATTTCATGCCCCATTTTAGATCTGAAAAAGATTATTTCAGATCTGAGTTAGAACATTTGTTTGATACGGGTACTGGGTGTCTGATCGGTTCGCCGTAAAATACTGCCGGCTTTTTGTTCTTTTCGAGGACCTGTTTGAAGCTTCCCTCCCGTACACAGTAAATTTTCTAAAACAGATCTGAAATAATCTTTTTCAAATCTAAATTTCACATCTGAAATAGGTTATAAAATGTTTAAATAAGGCTTGGATACTTTACGGATTGATTTTTTCAGATCTAATTTTAGATCTGAATTTTTGTTTTTCTTGGTTATTGGATCTGAAATTTAGTTTTGGTTATTTTAGATCTGAAAAATCAATGATTCTGACAAATTCTTGCTATTTATGATTTTTTTGTGTTTGATAGCTTCTGCTAGCAGGTACTCCGCAAAGTCTCATCTTGGAGACTGTCACATTATGTTTCCCCAAGCTTGATATATACATTGCAAACGCATCAGTAGCTAGCGAATGGACGACAAAAATTTGACAGCTGTTCTAAAACTTTTTGCAAACTTTTTGACACAGTTGAACAAGAAATTAATTCGAAAAAAAACTGTGTGTAATTTATTCAGAGTTTTTTTACCGACCGCTAGTTAATCTAAACATAATTGTGTAATGCAGAAAGATCACAAAAAAACTCAATTTTTCGCTCGAAATGCATAAATTATAATTTAACAATAAAGGATTCCTCAGATCTGATTTCAGATCTGAAATTTTGTTTTCAAGGTTATTTCAGATCTGAAATTTGAAAACTTTTATCAAGATCTGAAATAAAGAATTTCAGATCTGAGAATCAACTTATGCAAGAAATAAAGAATTTCAGATCTTGCACAGAAAATCCCATGAGCACGGGTTTCGATATTTGTGATTCATTGTCGATCTCTTACTGGTTTGTTTTACTGTTTCTCCCCGATGAAACTCCGGATGGCTCCGGTTTCTGTGGTGATGGCGATGACAAAAAAGGTCTCTGGGGTGTCGATGACGTCGTGTTAAACAATTCACCTATAATTCTTGGAAAATTACTGTTTGCTTGTTTTAGTGCTAACGCGAACAAACTTCTGTTTGACAGTTTTGATGCCAGTGCGCGTTCTGAAAAACTCGACATCTCTGCTCGTAACAAATTCGTTTTCAAAATTAGTGTACTTTTATCGGTGTGCATGCGGGTCTAGCTTCTTTCCCCTTTCCAAATTCCGATTACTTGAGCGGAGATGTCGTTGTTCTGCCTGAGTTTGTTTTCTTCAGAGATGAACACATGTTGAGCTGTTCAAATTCCAAGTAGTCCTCTTCATCCGTGCCCTATATTACAACTACTTTTTGATCTTTCTTTTTTGATGGTGATGGTTTCTTCCTACTCCCCAGGCCGTATCAGATTTCTACAATTTTTTGTATCCGGTCCAGAAATTGAATGATCTTGTTGTCTGTCCTTTAAGTTTCATTGATTTAGCACACCCTTCTCCTTTTGACTCATGTATTTTTCTGTATCAAAATAGTGATAAATTTTAGAGCAATTTTTAGACGAAAATGGTTTTCCGAATAATTTTTCCCCACTCCGTTTGGTGTGTAGACCCAATAACTTAAGCATTTTTTGGTTTAACTACACAAAATATTTTAAGTTTCCAGACCTTCTATCTAATGTTTTCCGGTACTCTATTAACACCTTTTGAACATGATAAAAATAAGTTTCTCAAAAAGGCTCCACTCTTCAGGGCCATCTCCACTACATCGATTTTGATACTGGCAACAACTTTGCATTTTTGCGGCGAGAAGCTTGAACAATTCCTGGCTTTTCTGCTATGGCAGATTTCCTCTCAGTTCGGCCCAATCTCTAGGCAATGTCGTCAATGTTTCTAATGACACTCTATATGGTACTGACGCGGCTATATCCCTGTCCAAGGTCAACAGCCTCTCGTACTTCAGGCTTACCTCTCAGCTGTCTTGATTCGGTCTCATGACTTTCCCACTATCCCTCTATTCCTTTTTCCCTCTATCCCTGCTGTAGAATTTGTCATTCATGTCTTGGTTTGATTAGTGCCCTTTTGAGTTTATCTGAATATGAACAACTTCTCGAAATTTGGATCGAGTATTGATGTTCCAAACTTTCTTTTTGGAGTTCGTATTGATTTTTTTCTTAATCCCTTTGTCTGCGGATCTCATATCCTTGCATTTATGTGGTCAACCCCATGATCCTTACAAAAACTTTTGTCAGTGACAACTTAAACGGCGTTCCTTGATCCATTTTTAGGTTTTTTAGAATACTGTGGAGCCAGATAATCAGATAATTTACGAGAAAACTGACTTTCTTGGCTGTCGCTAATTTCATTATCATCATTAAAGAGTATTTGGGAAACTGATCTATGGTTACTTTTGTATACAAGTTACTGCCTTTTTTTGTTTTGTAATAGTCCTGTAAAATCCAACTGAACTTCCTCGTTTAAATTCGTTAAAACCAGGAGCAGTTTTTGGTTTTCATAATTGACTCTGATTTGAAATTTTTATATAAAAGCGTGCCTCTTGTGAAACAAAACAGCTTGAGCCTCCTCAAATCTGACTACTTTTTCGAGCAAAGTTGCGTATTTTTGTTACGGATACTTTTTCTTCGCTTATTTTCTTTCGTATATTTCTCGTCGCATATTACTGTTATTTCTATTAATTTTTGTATTCG